CACCTGCCTGTCTCGCCCACCATGCCTTGGTGGTAATTAATTAAGTTTGTTAATTAAGGCAGGAGGCTGCCTATTCTTGCCCCAATGCCAGGGGGCACTATCTGCGGCTCCGTTCCTTCCCTACACCGCAGCCCAAGCCTCACAGGTGGCATCTAGATGACACATTGCTCCTGGCTTACAGCCAGACCAGCTTAGGCCTCTTCAGGCCTCAGTTTCACACGCATTCATACTACCCGCCTCTCACACAGGGTCTCTTTCATGCATTGACAACTTATTCTGCCTTGCTCCCTCTTTGAGCAGGCCCCTTAGGCCATAGGCTTTATCTAGGTAGTACCTTGGGTGGTAGATGTACTGTCTTTTGGGCCTCTCCTGCAACCCTCACTGGAGCAGTGGCCAGCCAATTACCTGACCAGGTCTAAGCTTGCTCTGGCCCCTTGCAGGGCAGCTCTATATGCTCACACGCTCTGGGCTCTCAGCCCTCTGGTTCTTCTTCCCCACTGGGGTCCCTCCTCTCTGCTCCCTTTCTAGGGCCACCCCTCACCAGGGCGTTCTTAACTCACACCATGACTGGTGTTCTGGGGTCTCACAGGGACTCTCACTCCCCCCCCAGAACCAGTAGGTCATTGTGTTCATTATAGGTCTTTCGACCCACACTCAGCCTCCCAGTGGTGGAGGACTTACCGGGGTTAGGACTCACCCCTATCTCTGGGACTGAGCCCCCTTACTCGGCCTCTGGCCCAAACTACAACCTTGGGCGTCTGAAGACATACCTAGGCCTACTCCTCTCACTTGAGCTCCACACCGGCCCCTTCACTCGGGCTCCACACCGCTCCCTTCACTTGGGCCATGGGGCTTCCCTCCCCGGTGGGCTCAGGTGGCTGTAGCTGTGCCTGGCCCCAACTACCTTTTCTCAGGGTCCTACACCCCACAGGGCTCAGGTGGCTACAGCTGTGCCTGGCCCAACTCCTTCCAATGTTACATAAACCACCCGAAGGTGAGGGCTACGGTTAAGGCGCCCCTACCCACCTTTCACCGGGGTGATAACTGGCCTGGCATTTCCTGGGGGGGTCCCACTCCACTGAGAGCCCACCAGGCCACCCACTCCTGGCAGGGTGCAGTTTTAGGTCATGCTCAGGACCAGGAGCCTCCAAGCCATCCCCTACACCTCCTGCCCTTACCTCCAGGATATTGCATGGAGCCTTGCAACCAGGCAGTGTTACTGCCTGACCTGCCAACAGTGAACTGCCTTGCTATATGGGCGGCCAGAGATCTAAAATGGCCGCTGCAATGAAGCACCTGCTGGCTGCTTGGCTTCGCTCTTAAAGCAGCAGGCACACTGTGACTTCATAACACACCTGAATCATTGCATTTCTATGTTATAGAGAACAAATAGAATTGCTTGTACTTCATCATTATATGTTAATATAATTTGTTAATATTGAAATTAATTTAGATGGAGGACAGTTCCTTTCATGGAAACTGAAAAAGAATATTATGGCTATGTCTTTCTGTTGTCTGTTTTTTAAAGCTGATTTTTCAAATTTGTTATTTAAAGTGTCTAGTATAGTAAAACTGCTGTTATGCTGGAGTAGTGTTGTAACAAAATTGCTAAGAATTTTACTCTTTTTCTATGAAATAGGTAGCAGTTCGCCACACAAAAGCATTAGAACTTAGGATTGGTGGATCTGTAGAGACTCCTGAAGTAGGCATCAACATAGTAAGTATTAGTATCATAAGTTATTATTTTAGATAGGATTGGTGGTATTTAGTTTTCTTTGTATTAAACTTTCAATGGGAGGTGTTACAGTTTTCTTCCCTTAATTCACATTTTTCATTATTTTTCCTGTAAAATTTTTCTTAGAAAGAAATTAAAGGGAATGACTTGCGGAGAGAGATTTTAAATTAAAAATATGCATGATAGCTTGACCAAATGACAGCTGAGAGATTTGCCTACAGGAAAATATGAAAAGGCTATAAAGATGAAGAACAGAGGTTTTGCTTAAGGTAGCCCAAGAGGAGATGTGAAATTAAATGAATCAACAGAAAAATGTGCTGAATTGGGAAAGTGCACTGGTGGTGCTGTCTCCAGGCTGTGGTCCAGGGAAGAGCAAATGGCCAGAACAATGAACTGCCTAGGCAGCTGATGAACAAGAGACCTTTTAAGCTGCAGTATTTTCATAGAGAACTATAGAGAATCGTAGAGAAATAGGGGTGGAAGGGACCTCTTGAGGTCATCTAGTCCACCCCCCTGCCTGAGAGAGGTTCATTCCTGTCTAAACCATCCCATACAATCCATAATTTAAACTCTGCACAACACTGCCCTAACACCCTAACCTGCTGCAGGCAAAGCAAGGGAACCACAACAGCCGTTGTCCTGCTTCTATGAAATGTCAATATATGCTCAAGAGATCCTGGGTAGAGGGCTACCCCCTCCACTATAGAGGAAAGCAAAAGTTCATACCAATCAATGGTTGTCCAACCTTTTCTTGAACAACTCCAGTAATGAAGAGTCCACAACTTCTATACTATATCTACAGCATTCCCTTCATCCACCCAAGTAGTTACTTTGTCAAAGAAGGAAATCAAGTTGTTTATCATGATTTGTTTTTCTTAAATCCATGCTGGCTGCTTCTGATCACCCTTTCCTCCTCCACATGCTTGCAGATGGGCTTCAGTAACTTCCCAACTACAGGCAGTCCTCGACTTGCAGTGTTACAAGTTGCAACATTTCACACTTACAACATTTATAAATTGACACAGTATTTCAACTTTATGATGTCAGTTTCAGCTTTACAACACTTGATCTGATGTGATGCCATGCCAGCAAACAAGTTTGCTGCATCGCCCATCTCCTTGGAGAACATCTGTCCAAACTTTCTTGGACACTTTCTTTAAGAAAGCAGACAAGACTCCAGAAAAACCTGTAGCCAGGACTCCTGAGAAGACTCCAGCCAAGAACCCTTCAAAAAGTCCAACCGAGAGCCTTTCAAAAAGTCCAGCAAAGTCACCTTAAAGAAGTTCTTCCAAATCAATATGATTGCTATTTACAGTATAAAAATATTAATGTAGCTATATTACTCATCTATAATTGATCAAGTACAAAATTCTGGGGTATTTTTAATGAAAATAGGGTATTGGACCTTGGTTCAGGAACAACTCCCTCACTTATAACATTGTTCTTATTAAAAAATTGGTTCTGAGTTGCAACATTTCGACTTAAGATGCAGTTTTCAGGAACCAATTGTGTCGTAAGTCCAAGGACTGCCTGTGCTGAGGTGAGGCTAACTGGGCTGTAGTTCCCTGGGACATCCTTTTTTGCCTTTTTTTAAAGAGGGGCACCATGCTGGTCTTTTTCCAGTCCTCTCATACCTAACCATCCTTACGAGTTCATGAAGATCAAGGGTTCCAAGATCTCTCTTGCCAGGCCTTTCAGGACCCTGGGATGCAGTTCATCCTGCCCTGCTGACTTGAATTACTGCAGACCCAATAAAAGCTCTTTGACTATTTCTCTTATCTCCTCCCTCAGCTTGCCCTCTTTCTTATCCATATAATCTTTATTAGGTGTCTAGCTGCAGCTTATTTTTTTGTGAAGACTGAGGCAAAGTAGCTGTTGAGTAGCTCCACCTTTTTTGCAACTTCTGTTAGGAGTCCCCCCGATTTACTAACAGAGGACCTATAGCTTCCTTGGTCCTTCTTTTCTGGCCAGCATACTTATAGAACCTCCTTTCCCAGGTGAAGCTTGTCCTTTATCTTTGCCTTCCTGATTTTGTCCTTGTGGTTCTTGCTATTTCCTGATATGATGTCTTGGTTACCTGCTCATTTTTCCGTTGCCTGTATGTTTTCCTTTTGCATTTGAAGCATCCTAGAAACTCCTTGTGCAGCTGCATTGGTCTCTTACCTTGTGCTTCCATCATGTCAGGACAGTTCCTTGTTGGGCGCCCATTACTGTGCCCTTTTAGAACCTCCCAGCCTTCCTGGGTGCCTTTATCCTTCAGTCCGTCTTCCCATGGCACTATGTCTGTTAACTCCTGGAGTCAGATAAAATCTGCTTGTTTGAAATCTAGTGTCCTAATTTTTCTGACATCATTCTTTCCCTGTATTAGGATTTGGAATATTATCATGTTGTGATCGCTTCCTCCCAAGTTACCCATCACTTTCATGTCCTCCCCCAGTTCGTCCCTATTGATCAGGACAAGATCCAAGATTGATTCCCTAGCTGTATACTCCACCTTCTGGAACAGAAAATTGTCCTCCATAAAAGTTAGGAACTGGCTTGACATTTTATGTTTGGCTGCATTGTTCTTTCAGCAGATGTCTAGAAAATTGAAGTTTCCCATCAGTACCTTCCCATAGCTTTAAGTTAAATTTGTTATCTTGATCTCCCTCATCCACCTCCTCTTCCTAATTAGGTGATCTTCCCCACCATTATATTGGTGCTTCATCTTTCACCTTCTCTTGTCACCCAAATGCATTCTGTTTTGCTGAATTCTTCTTCTTGAACCAGGGAACAAGTGTATGTGCTTTTGACATAGAAGGCAACACCACAACCTTTTCCCTCAACCCTGTCCTCCTGAAACAGAGTGGAGTCATAAGAGCTGTCCCACCATGTCTCAGATTTTAACGTACTGTTGAAGTATATTCATGGCCTAACAGTGCTCTAGCATTAATATTTTTCTTAAATTTACAGGAATCCTTCAACTTTGATGGCGTTTATGTTGGTTCTACCCACACCATTCCTTTTTTGCTGCAGAACAAAGGAGTAGCATGTGCCAGGGTAGAATTTGATTTATCCAAGTATAAAGACTTTAAGTTGAACTTTAACGACCAATCAGGTATTTTCTTTTATTATTTCAGAATTGTAGTTCAACAGAAAATATGATAAAGTGGATCCAAGCTTAAATATCTCTTGTGTAAAAATCTCATGGGTTTACTGTTTATGGGAAGTTTAAAGTGTTCTGTGAAGTACTTACTATTACTTAGTTTTTATTATAAGTTGAGATAACATTGTTTTTATAAAAAAGGTATTTGTTTACCTTATCTGGACTACTTTATACATGCAATATAAATCAGTATTCCACAGTTATGATTTGAAAACGCTAGAGAACAATACTAGTGATAAAAACCAAGACCCAAAATAATTAGGAAAGTCAATTTTTAAAAATGAAAACAATAAGGAAAGACAAAACTTTGAAGTGACCTAATAGAAAAGATTACAATGTGAAAGGAATTAGTAGGATTAAATAGGAACCTAGGCAACTAGTTGACCAGGAAAAGGAGCATTACCATGAACTTGAAATGGAGAAAATGTTCCAGCCGTACCCTGGTAAGTTATGTGGTGACAGACCACCATGGCCCTCACATGGCATTGGTTCAAAATTGTTGCCTTGCAGTAAGGCCATGGATAATGATAATGTATTTTTAATTGCTTTTGAGTTAAGACGTGGATTAAATTATTTTGTCATTGTTCCACCTGCTGAAAATAAGTTCTGCTTTCAGGGTTAAACTGATATTGCAAGTGTACAGGAAGGAATTTTGAGTTGTAGAGGATGTACACCATGTCACGGGTTATTTATGAAAATCAGAATATGGCTGAGGCATAACTAGTTTAAGTGATGCTTGGGGGCAAATGCATCTAAACTAGTGGTGCTCAACCTTCTGGCTCCATAGGCTGGATGAGTGGTATGGAGCTGTCCACTAGCTGAATCCGTCAATACATGAGCCATATCCAGTGTGGGGTCAGCGTGTGGGGTCACTTGCCATGGATCTGGAAATTTGGCTGTGGGGGGAACTGTGGCAATTAATACTGTTACCTCTCTTATGCCACCAAATTTCCAGGCCTATGGGGAGCCATGCAGACTGGATGACAAGGCCCTGCAGGACAGATTTGGCCTTTGGGCTGAAGGTTAAGCATCACTGACCTAGACTACTTCTATAAACTCAGTTGACCTGAACTACAGTCCTAGTCAGTAGACAGTCTCTCCAGAAATATGTGCATATAGAATAAATGGGATGATGAGCATGAAGACGCTACTGAAAAATGCACATACTTAATAGAAAGCATGAGACTCATCTCAAGAGATGCAAAGTGGGTAAACTCATGTTGACCTCCAAAGAAAGATTGATCTGTTATTTTATAACTGCCTGAGAACAGACACAAACTGGTAAACTTCCTAGTTACCATTCATTAGGGAATTGCTGCTGGGTCATAGACTAATTTTATAGCAGTACAGTCGGAAGATGGCTGGGGCATTGCTTTATGAGTGCAGCAGGCTATCCAGATGTGTGTAAACCTAACAGTGGCACTTAATGTGCTTGAAAATGAATGTGTACTTTACCCATCAGTGTCTATGTCCAGAGGTACCATTGAGAATGAAATGCAGGAAAATCTCCACTGGAAGTGGGAAGTGATGATGGGTAGGCAGGTATTTCTGAACTGGAGAGACAATGGTTCTTGCAAACCCTAATTAAGAGGGTTCCTGGGTTTTTCTGATTTAAAAAAAACCCCAATTTTTTATTTAAAAAAAAAAAAAAAAGTAACCACAAATCCACATTTTTGCATGATTAAAATGAAACACCACTTATATATATATATATATAAATGGTGTTTCATTTTAATCACGCAAAAATATATATATATGTTAGTTGTGTTTCATTTTAATCATGAAAAAATGTGGAATTGAGGGTTACTTTTTTTAACCAAAAATTGGAGATTTTTTTTTTTAAATCAGAGAAAACCAGGATGCCTGCTAATCAGACACTGCTGCAGGTATGGTGGACAGGTACTGCGATGTAGGTGAAATTTCCTAGGATGAACTGAGTCACTTTACTTGGTGATATTGGGGAACAGTTTTGCAGGGTTAAGCATTATGCAGATGGTGTTATGGTTACCTGCTTGCTCAACCCTGGGCATGTCCCAACGAGATGTGAAAATCACAGTAAGTGAATTCTACTGCATATTAGTGCATCATGGCAAAAGCCATGCTAATGCACCCTAGAATTAGTCTACTGTGCATTAGTATCACCTTAAGGATATGCACTGGCATTACTGTGCTGTAGTGCTGTTTAGGTGCATTAAGTTAGTACCACTTATTACAGGTACTAAATTTAAAGAGCCCCAAAATACTTGAAATTAGATTTAAAAAAAAGCTGAGAAATTTGAAATTTTTAGGGGTCTGCAAGTGAAAAAAGGTTGAAAACTGTACCTGATTCAATGCTCCCCCTCTCTCTTCTGCCAAAGTCAGAGACAAAATACTGGGCTAGATAGAACATGAGTCTGACCCAGTATGGCACTTTTTATTTTCTTATGTTTCACTCATTTTTTAGCTACAGAAAAATAATAGTGCAATTCTTATATTGCAAAGAACTCAGAAAGACCCCAACAGGTCAGAGTGCTTTTGGTAATATGTTTTTCTATTTGAAATCTGGATTTATGTTGCGAATCATATATAGGTATTTGCACACTGAACCATGCTAATATGAAGTGGCTTGTCTGATAATCATTGTCCTAGTGGGAACTCTTTCAGAGACTGCTTGCAGACATAAAAAAAATGGGCGCTTTAATTTAAACTCTGCACACTCCTGCACTGAGTCAAGTGCATGCCCAGAAGGAGCATTGTGTTAGTTGGACCTAGTTTGCCCAACTTTTGTATAGATTGGGCTCTTTAGTGGGGTTTTATTGGCACTTCTAATAGCTGAGTATTTTCACGTCTGTCAACAGCTTCACTGACTAGAACACAAGAACAAGATTGGGAAGGAGAAACAGGCCCTGAGATGCTAAAAGGACTCATGCCACCTAACGGGTTCTTTTGGACTTGCCAGAGGGAGGGTTTTTCATATAGACATTTAGAATTTTCCATAGATCTGTATCTGTCTTCAGTTTTTTTTTCCAGAAGTAAAATGTGACTGGTTTTGAAATTGCTTTTTAAAAGCTGTGTATTTTTTTTCCTTTCCCTGTGACAAAGTTCTCCAATGAGGAAATAGTATTCAAGAAGTTCCGCTATGTCAGAAGAACCCTTAGGGATGTGCAGTAAATATTGGTGAATTTGGAAGAACCAGCACTAATTTCAGGGACTAGGCATCAGTTCCTGAAATTAGTGCTGCAGTCTCCAGGTGGCAGATTGCCTACACATGCAGATTAAAGCCTGATAGAAACCAGCTCTAAAGTTATTACACTTTTTTTGAGCAATATTTCATAGATTTCATAGACTTCATAGACATTAGGGCTGGAAGGGACCTTGGAAGATCATCAAGTCCAGCTCCCTGCCCCAGGGGCAGGAAGTCAGCTAGGGTCAAAGGATCCCAACAAGATAAACATCCAAATGTTTCTTGAAAGAGTCCAGAGTAGGTGCTTGCACTACTTCTGGAGGGATACTATTCCAGGCCTTTGGGGCTCAGACAGTAAAGAAGTTTTTCTTTATGTCCAGCCTAAAATGGTCTTGGGGGAATTTGTGAACATTGGACCTTGTCATCCCTTGGGGTGCTCTGGTGAACAGTCATTGCCCCAGATCCTGATGCACACCCCTTATGTACTTACAGGCTGCCACCATGTCATCCCTGAGCCTGCACTTTTCCAGGCTGAACAGCCCCATGGCTCTCAGCCTTTCTTCATAAGGCCTATTCTCTTACCCTCTGATCATGTGCGTGGCTCTCCTCTGGACTCTCTCATGCTTCTCCACATCTTTCTTGAATTGTGGAGCCCAGAATTGGATGCAGTACTCTAGTTGCGGCCTCACCAAGGCCTAGTACAGCAGGAGGATGACAATCTGAGATTTATTTGAGAAGCATCTATGGATGCAAGCCAGAATTTGGTTTGCTTTACCAGCTGCGACAACACATTGGTGCCTCATGTTTATCTTGTGGTCAGTCATGACCCGCAAGTCTGTTTTGGCCACAGTGCTAGCGAGCATAGCACTGCTGAACCTATAAGCGTGTTGCAGGTTTTTTTCCTGAGGTGGAGTACCTTGCATTTGTTGGTATTGAATGTCATCAGGTTTATATCTGCCCACTTCCTAAGTTTATCCAAGTCAGCCTGGATCACCAGCCTATCCTCGGTGTGGACACTCTACCCCAAAGTTTGGTGTCATTGGCAAACTTGGCCAGTCCAGTTCTGACACCAGTATCCACGTTGTTGATAAAGCCTTTGACACCGTCTCTCACCCCATCCTAGTTAAAAAACTAGGCGACTGTGGCATAGATGCCTACACAGTCAGATGGATTGCAGATTGGCTGAAGGGTCGCACTCAGAGGGTGGTGGTGGATGGGTCATACTCGACCTGGGGGGAGGTGGGTAGCGGAGTCCCCCAGGGCTTGGTCCTGGGGCCTGCGCTGTTCAATTTCTTCATCAGCGATCTGGATGATGGGGTGGAAAGTAACCTGTTTAAATTCGCTGATGACACCAAAATTTGGGGGGAGGTGAGCACGCTAGCAGGGAGTGAGAGATTGCAGAGGGATCTGGATAGGTTACAGGGGTGGGCTAACAGGAACAGGATGCGTTTTAATACGGACAAGTGCAGGGTGCTGCACTTGGGCAGTAGGAACCAGCAGCACACTTACACAATGGGGAACTCCCTACTCGAGAGCACGGAGGCAGAAAGAGATCTTGGAGTCATTATTGACTCCAAGATGAACATGGGCCGACAATGCGAGGTCATGGTTGGCAGGGCTAACCGGACCTTGTCATGCATCCACAGGTGCATCTCGAGTAGAGCCAAGGAGGTGATCCTCCCCCTCTACGCGACGCTGGTCAGGCCACAGCTGGAGTATTGTGTCCAGTTCTGTGCGCCCCATTTCAAGAGGGATGTGGACAACATGGAGAGGGTCCAGAGGAGGGCCACCCGCATGATCCGGGGACAACAGGGCAGACCCTACAGTGAGAGACTGCGGGACCTGAACCTATTCAGCCTCCACAAGAGAAGGCTGAGGGGGGACCTGGTGACCGTCTATAAACTCACTAGGGGGGACCAGAAGGGTTTGGGGGAGACGCTGTTTCCCCTAGCGCCCGCTGGCATAACAAGGAGTAATGGGCACAAGTTGATGGAGAGGAGGTATAGATTGGACATCCGCAAGAACTACTTCACAGTTAGGGCGGCTAGGAGCTGGAACCAACTTCCAAGGGAAGTGGTGCTGGCCCCTACCCTGGGGGTCTTTAAGAAGAAGCTGGATGCCTACCTGGCTGGACTCATTTGAGTCCCGTTTTTGTTTTGGGGTTTTGCTGTTCTCCTGCCCTGTCGGGGGGTCGGGCTAGAAGATCTACTAGGTCCCTTCCGACCCTAAATCTATGAAACTATGAAACTATGAAACATTAAAGAGAACAGGCCCAAGGATGGAGCCCTGGGAGACACCACTGGTCATGGAGTGCCATACAGATTCACTTCCTTCAGTTACCACTCTCTGGGTCTGGTCTCAGAGCCAATTCTCCAGCCATCAGACTGTGATGTAGCCGAGGCCACAGCTGACCAATTTTTCCATGAGGAGATCATGGGACACCAGATCAAAGGCTTTTTTAAAGTCCAGATATATGATGTCAATCTCTTCTCCCTCATCCAGGTGATATGCGACCTGGTCGTAGAAGGAGATGAGATTGGTCAGGCAAGACCTACCTGCAACAAACCCGTGCTGGCTGTCCCCTCATGATGTTGCCATCAGCCAGCTTGTCCAAAATGGTCTCTTTCATAATTTTTTTCAGAATCTTTCCAGGGATTGAGGTCAAGCTGATTGGCCTGTAGTTCCCTTGATCTACTTTCCTCACTTTCTTGAAGATGGGGCACCACATTGGTCTTCTTCCAATCTTCAGGTACTTCACCTGAGCGCTACAAGTTTTTGAATATCATTGTCAGTGGCTGGGCTATGATGCCTGCCAGCTCCTTAAGTACTCTGGGGTGCAGTCTGTCAGGACCAGCTGACTTGAAGGTACCCAGCCTCTCAAGATGTTCGTTTACAAGGTTTACACTGATGCTGGGTATAAATTCACCCACACTCGGGCTGGCCCGCATCATGCTAGGCAGGGAAGTTCCTTTGGGTTGATGAAAAGCTTGATGCAAAGTACCCATTAAGCAGGTTGGCTTTTTCCCGGGTGTCGGTTGTCAGTTGTCCCATTTGGTTTAGCAGGGGTCCAGTGTTACCTTTGCTTTTCTTCCGACTTCCCACATACCTGTAAAAGGAGATTTTATTGTCCTTGGTGCATGTAGCCAGAGTTTGGTTGCAGCCTTGGTTTTCCTGGTTTGCTCCCTACAGGTGGACCAGTGCAGAATACTCCTCCTTTGTGGCGATTCCTGTCTTCCATCCTTTATAAGCCTCTCTTTTTGGTGAGCCAAGGGGGTTGCTGTGCCCTTTTGCTACCTTTTCTTTGAGGTGGGATGGACATCCCTTGTGCTTTCAGGATCACTCCCTTAAGGAGCAACCACTCCTCTTGGACGACTCTCTCTGTCGAGTCATGGTCTCTTAGGGCTTGACAGCAAGCCTCTTGTGCTAATCAAAGTCAGCTTTCCTAAAGTTGAGGACTTCTGCATTGCTGACTGACTTGCTAGCTTTGCAACGGATAGTAAAAGTGATCAGCTCATGGTCACTGTCTCCCAGCTTTCCTTTGATTCTTAGGTTGTTGGCTAGATCATCCCCTTTAGCTAGTACCAGGTCCAGCAATGCTTTACCTCTTGTTGGTCCATAGACTCTTGCGTCAGGTAGAGCTCATCCACGCACGTAAGGAAGATTTGTGACCATTTGGATTTGGCAGAGTGCTCTTCCCATGAGATGTCTGGGTAGTAGTAACTTTATAGCTGGTTGGACCTGGACAGCATCCAGGAAAGCAATAAGTTTCTCCATCTTAGCAGATGTAGGATGACTGTTGAAAGTACTGAAAGGATGCTGGACATACCTTATGACTACACTGGATTTCAGGGAGCCAAATATTTTCTTGTTGTCTCTGCATGTTGTGCTTTAAGTAATACTTGGATATGTCTACACAAGAAGCTGACTGCATAGTAGCCTGATAAAACTGTGCAGTAGCTTTGCATGGCAAAAACCATGCTGAGACGCTACTTCATAATAGTATTAGGCTACTGCACAGTAGCATCACTTAAAAGGCATTTGGCACTACTGCACAGTAACTCTGGTTATTGCACATTAATTTAGTACTTGCTTATACAAGTAAGTACTAAATAAATGCACAGTAACTATGGCACAGTAGTGTCTCATATACATGCGCCCCTGGAGAAGCAAAGAAGGAAACATTACTGGTGGGGTTGAGGGGGAAGCAGAAGGACTAATTTTGATCAGCAAATACAAGGGCCGTTGTAACAGCAAATCAAGGTGCTGTATTATTAGGGAAATCTTAAGAACACACTATGACAGCATGGCACAATCAGGGCTACTTTATGCCAATTTATGCTATTACATGATTAATCTGTACTTGGCTTGTATATAAATTTGGGGGGCAGTCCTCGGGGTAGCTCGCAACTCTATTTCTGGGTTTTCTGCATGTTGGTGTTCACCCTGGAGTGTCAGTGTATTGGTTGTGGGAGCCCTTCTTAGAAGTATGTGTGCAAAGCTTACAGAATACCAGCTTGAAACTTTTACAGAGATTGTGCCAGAAGGCAAAAAGGGATATCTTAGCCCAAATCAACATGAAACTCTACATTGTATAATGAAAGTGTGGCTGAAACTGCCTTCACCAGGGTAATTTTAAAAAAAAGTCTCTTAGCTAGACACAAACTACCTTTACCACTTTTTACTCCTGAATCCATCCACAGCATACGTGTAATCTGGTTTGGAGTCTCAGGCTGGAAAACCAAACCAGTGTTGTCTATTTTTATGTTACATGTTTAGTTCACAGTCATGTTCTAAATGACCTGTTACTGGGTGGCTTGCAGGGCTTAATTTGTATTTCCCATGTATTTTTCCCATGTATTTTATTTGTTTGCAACATACATTTTGCTGGTGTCAGTGTATTTCTTTCCCCTTTGCAACTGATTTATATCGCTGCAAATTCTGTTCACCTTCCCTGTGAAAAACATGCATTTGGAAATTCTTTTGGATTTCTTATAGTATTTTTCAGTTTTTGCCTAAGACTCCCAGGGCATTCACAGTAATTTCAAAAAATACTTCCTTTGTGCCCTGACATGTACAGAGAAGCATGGGGGGGGAGGTGGGGCAGGGGAAGCCTGAGACAGTGCAGGCCAGGGTGGGGGTTTAAACCCGTCCCTAATTAGAGCATTCTGCTGGGGCCTGGCCACGCCCCTCCCTCTCAGCTCAGCATTGTGGAAGGAAAGGGAGGGCTTGCTCTAGCACCCCTCCTGGCTTCTAGCTTGAGTCACTGCAGGCATGTTCCTGCATTTCTGGAATGAAAAGGGATTGTCTATCCACCTCCAAATCAGTTCAAGCTTTGCAGGTTAGACTAGCCTGTAAAGATTGAATCAATTCAGGCTTAGGCTTTTTGAAGGTCTGTCCCTAGCCTAAAAGTGGCAGTAGTATGTTTACTATTGCTTTATGTGGAGCCATACGTGTACACTTGCAGTGTTGGGTTTGCAGAAGTAGCTTAGCAGAGAGGCATTTTCAAAATATGCTGGGGATTTTGAAGGTTGTGAGTGGCCTTCTCATCCTAAGGCAGTTTACAGTTCTGACTGCAAGAGCCACTGTTGCACAAGTAGAGGCATTGTGGAATTGTTGCTGGATTGCTGTTTGTATCTGGTACAAATAATGCATCATCCACATGAATGATGTATTGTAGTAACACTTTTGATATAGGACTTTTGCTGTTCAAAAATTGTTTTACATCAGTGAAAACTCAAGGTTTTACTGACAAGATCTGAAATTGAAAGTGGATGCATGCAAGGATATGCCAACAGAAGGCAAGTTTTAGTCTGTAAATGTAGATCAGGCCTGACAATCAAGGTTGAGAGTCTATATTGTGATACTTTTACAGAAGCAAAATTATGGCTATGTAGTCTTCACTTATATTATTAGTTACCTTTATACTTACTTAGTATTTTTTAGCCTAAGGCATTTATTTAGAAAGAGAAGTAACCACAAATAGCTTGATTTACAATGATGATTCTCAAATGACAGTGACTTTAATGGAAGCTGTTGGTGATCTGTACTTCTCAGGTTCAGACCCTAAATACATTTAAAAAATATGTTCAGTCTTGTCACACTGTGAAGGTTTACTATGGAACATGAATGACTGGTGGCTCCCAAGGCTGGGGGAGCACCATTTGTAGGCACCAGTGGCGACTGCCCACAGATGCCAGTGATGGTGTTAGTGGTTGGGGGGAGTGGGCAAGGATGGTGAGCAGCAAATGGGGATTGCCCGCAGATGCAGGTGGCCACGTCAGCAGCAGGGGGCGGGGAGTGGCATGACAAGCAGCAACCACCCTCAGAAGCTGGCAGTGGCTTCAGTGGCAGCCAATCTCAGGGGAGACATGCGCCTCCCCTATGCATCACCTATGCTATGGAATTTTATATGTTGGGAATCTAGTTGTACTACTATAGCCTGAAAAAATAGGTTTCATGTATACTGTAATGGCATGTAAAACTGATTTTTTTTTTTTTTTTTTTTTTTACAGTTTTTGCCCGTTTTCCCCAAAAACTTTTTTTTTTTTTTGTTTTTTTAAATTTTTTTCCCCTTTCCCCCAAAAACTTTTTTTTTTTTTTGTTTTTTTAAATTTTTTTCCCCTTTCCCCCAAAAACTTTTTTTTTTTTTTGTTTTTTACAGTTGTTGACCGTTATCCTCAGAAACCTTATTCATATTCTGTGGAGTTAAAAGGAAAGTCAACTTTACAATGCTCAATATCCTTCACACCAAAAGAAGTAAGTTTGTGAGGCTGCAGTAATTATGTTAACTTAGAAGAATATCTTTAGGTTTTTTTTAAGATTTGAGAAAAAAGGCATCTTATATTTTGAGAGACAAAAGTACTAAGTCATTGAAAATAGCAAATATGTAAATAATAATAGCAGCTTTGGAAAATAATCTGATTTTTAAGAAGATAAACTTGGAAGTCTGAAATATCATGTGTACAATTGCTTTACCATTTTTTCTTTTGTTGATTTCCTCATATTGAAGTGAAAGGTACAACTGTATTGCTTCAAATACTTTTTTAAAAGAGGAAAAATATGCAGAACCACAGTAGAAAAAATAAAGTAAAAAGGAGACTGTATAGCAACCAAATTGCTCCCAAAATTAAAAGTAAATAACTTATTGCAAAGCTTGCATGTCTTGACTCTGAACTCCCCAAAAGGCTATAAAAAGGAGCTTTAAACATGCTGTAAAATGTTAAAAGGCTCCAACAGATCATAAAAACATAGAGTCATAGAAAATTAGGGTTGGAAGGAACCTCAGGAGGTCATCTAGTCCAACCCCCTGCTCAAAGCTGGACCATTCCTAATTATATCATCTCACCCAAGGCTTTGTCTGTCTGGGTCTTAAAAACCTCCATGGATGGAGATTTTACTACCTCTCTGGGTAACCTGTTCCGGTGCTATATTACTCTTCTAGTAACAAAGTTTTTCCTAATATCTAACCTCAGGTTTCCTTGCTGCAGCTTCAGCCCATTGCTCCTTGTTCTGTCATCTGCCACCACTGAGAACAGTTTACCTCTGTCCTCTTTGGAACCCCCCTTCAGGTAGTTAAATCTCTGTCAGTCGTCTCGTCTCCAGACCAAATCAGTTCAGATCCCTCAACCTTTCTTCATGAGTCATGTGCCTCAGCCCCATAACTATTGTTGTTGCCTTCTGCTGGACTCTCTCCAGTTTGTGTACATTGTTTCTTTAGTGGGGTGCTCAAAACTGGACACGCTACTCCAGTTGCGGCCTCACCAGTGCTGAAGAGGGTGGAAGAATCACTTTCCTTGCTCTGTTGGCAATGCTCCTACTAAAGCAGCCCAGTACATCATTAGCCTTCTTGGCAACAGAGGCACACTGTTGACTCCTATTCAGCTTTATTGTCCATTGTAACTCCTGGGTCCTTTTCTGCAGAATTGCTGCTTAGTCAGTCAGTCCCCAAGCTGTACCAGTTCATGGGATTGTTCTGTCCGAAGTACAGGACTTTGTACTTGTCTTTGTTGAACTTCATGAGATTCCTTTTGGCCCAATCCTCCCATTTGTCGAGGTTAATGTGAATCCTAGCTCTACCCTCCAACATATCTACTACTCCCCACAGCTTGGTATCATCTGCAGACTTGCTGAGGGTACATTCCATCCCCTCTTCCAGGTTGTAGATGAAGATATTGAACAAAACCAGCCCCAGGACCAACCCCTGAGGCACTCCACTTGAGACTCGCTGTCAACTAGACATAGAGCCATTGATTACTACCCTTTAATCCCAACTATCAAGCCAGTTTCCTATCCAGCTTAAAGTCCATTAATCCAGACCATACTTCCTTAGTTTGCTTCCAAGAATGTTGTGGGAGACGGTATCAAAGCCTTGCTAAAGTCAAAGTATGTCACATCCACTGGTCTTCCTGCATCTACAGAGCCAATCATCTCATCCTAGAAGGCAATCAGGTGGGTCAGGCATGACTTGCCCTTGGTGAATCCATGCTGACTATTCCTGATCACCTTCTCTTTCAAGTGCTTAGAAATGGATTCCTTGAGGACCATGATTTTTTCAGGGACTGCAGGTGAAGCTGACCAGTTTGTTTCTGAAATGCTCCTTTTCCTCTTTTTTTTAATGATGGGCACTATATTTGCCCTTTTCCAATTGTCTGGAACCTGTCCTGATTGCCACAAGTTTTCAGAGATAATGGCCAACACCTCTGAAGTCGCATCAGTCTACTCCCTTAGCATCCTCCGGTGTATCGTGTCTGCCCTTATGAACTTGTACACATCCAACTTTTCTAAATAGTCCCTAACCTGTTCTTTTGCCACTGTTGGCTGCTTACTTCCTCCCTAAACTGTGCTGCCAGATGCAGTAGTCTGAAAGCTGACTTTGCCTGTAAAGTCGGAGATAAAAAAGGCATTGAGTACTTCAGCCTTTTATGCATCGCCTGTCAATAGGTTGTCTCCCCCATTCAGTAAGGGCCCACTCTTTCCCTGATCTTACTCTTGTTGCTCATGTTTCTGTTTAAAGTAAGTAAATAGCATATTTATGGTTTTCAGAAAAGGCTGTAGTCACAAATATTGAAAGGTAAATTGTATTCAACACTGTTTCAGAAACAGAGGCTTTGGGGTTTAACCAACTCCATGTGCTTCAAAAAGTATAAAAGTTGACTGTTATGGACCAGAATAAGCAGCTGAGGTCCACTTCTGCAGCAGAGGAGCCTAGTGCATTGACTTATAATGAATATCTTAAGCTTAGAGACATTTCATTATGGGGGGGGACAAAATATCCCCTCCCCTTTGTTTTTGTTTGAAGTAAAATGCGTCCCCTATTTACATTAAGGGTCATTCAAAATAATATTTACATAAATGGTACTTTATGTCTCTTTAGTTTTGACTTGGCTGCTCTTTGATGTTCATTGTTTAACAATTTCTTTATCTGTAGCTTGCTTAGATGAGAAAATTAGTGCACAATAAGGTAGGGTGTGACTTGACAGTGCACTTCCTACTCTGACTTCCACAGTGCTCTCGGGGGCACACTGAGAATATCCATGTGGGAATTATTATTGATTAGTTAATGTCCTGTAAATTCATATCCCAGTGTACTTCCTTGAGGCTTGTTTCCACCTCATTTACATCTCGTTGGAGTTTAATGTAGCAGTGAGTCAGTAGTAAGTAACCTGTAGTTTTGTGTTTTGTTCCAATAGCTACTAACATGTTGGGACACTAAAGCTACGTGCAGACATTTGGGGGGGGAAAGAATGGGATTAGGGGGAGGTTAGATCAAGTTAAAAATGGGACCCTGATCTAACTTAGTTTGCCTCTGTATGGACCTTACACTTGGACCTTGTCTTAGTGATGGGAAATCAATCTAAACCCTAACAGTATAGAAGTTTTGCGCACACTGATCAGTGTAAAAATGGCAGAACCTTGTCTGAAATAGACCTGGATTGATATACACTCAAATTTTAATCAATTTATGTTAGACTGGTTCATCGAATTTCAGTATGGTTACCTGCACAGTCTCATGGCTGGAAAAGCCCAGTTACTCGCCCCATCCCTGGCACTGCACTTTTCCTATCTCCCCCCCAGGCACTGGGCTATTTTTAGACCCTTGTGTCCCCACCCCCCCTACACTCACCAACCCCCACCCCCATCCCACAAGTTGCTCTGGCTGCCACTTTTGTCAGCATTTGCCACTCCTGGGACCAAGGAAGTAAGTATCAGTAGGGGGAAGGGCAGGAGGGATGCAGGGGTAGGTTTGCTGGAGGGGTTGGGGAGCTAAAAAATAGCCCTGGGTCTCCCCCAAGTGCCCCCACTGACACTGTGAGCCTCCATGTTCCTGCCAAACCCACGTGGACCCAAGCAACACCCCCCTCGGACACCATCTGCCCTTCCAATCACTCCCATGGATCCCGCCTGCACCCTGTTCCCCCTCTGGATCCTGCTTGTCATCGTGATACCTCCTGTGGATGGTGCCTGCACCTCAGATCCTGCCAATCCTTACTGTGGACCCTGATTGCCCTTCATAATCCCTCCCATGAATCCTGCTTGTCCCTCAACCCCCATGCACATTCCCAATCCTCTCCAAGTCTGCTATCCCACCAACCGCCCCACTGGTCCCCCCTGTTCAACCTTACCTGAGATCAGGTGGTCATTTTGGATGTAATCTAACCACTCCTAACCCCTCTGAATGTCTGCACTTTGCCTAAGAGAATATTACTACTCAGTTACACTATCCATTCCAAATTTTTGACGAGTTTCTTTCAAAAATGAAATTACTAATTGATATTAAAAGTCTAAATTACACTTTGGAAGAAAGCTTAACTTCACTTTAATTTCAGTAAGAATGAATTTCAAATTGTTAAAATACTTTTCCAGAAAAGGCTTCATGCTCCTGATTTTTATAGAAGTGTCTTGTAATGATGGGGTTTCAAATTACCTAGGTGTCTTGAAGCATTTAATATGGATGCATGGCATACTTAGTTTTACACAATCTAAGGTTCAGGCCTCATAGTTGCACAGGCAGACTTCCAAATGTAAACTGACTGGAAAATGAAGTCTTATGCTGAATGTGAAGACAGCCTGACACAATTGTGTGAATTCCCTTTTCCCCTATTAATCATACTGAGGTATCAGCTGTGAAGCCCAGTGATGACACATTAATGTCAACACTTCATTTGCTAATGATTTTAGTGAATTGAATAGAGTGGAGGTGGAAGTGAAGCTTACTGATTTGGGAATTGCTGTGGGGAAGAAAATGCAGAGGGAAGAACTCTGCTTGACGCAATAACAAGGAAAAAAGAGAAAGAAGGCAAGGAAGAGAGAAAAGCAAAGGGCAGAAAAGTAGTATTAGTTCTAAAGATGAGTGTCCTTGCACTGAATGTTATTACAAAATATAGAATGCACAAGATACAACAGCAACAATGATTGATTGTTGTGGTGGTGATGATGATAATAGTTATAAAGACTGTTTTGTACCTTTTTTTTAAGTCTCCCACTGATATTGGTAGGTTGAAGATAATATGTAATCCTAAATGTGGAATGTAAGTGAAGATGAATTTTTTCTGTCTTCATTG